GAGGACGGAACAGAGAGAGAATTTTGTGCAGGAATTTGATGAGGGTGGGAATTCTTAAGCCAGAGAGATACTAGAGGGCAAGAGGAAACTCTTGTTACTTTTTGTCACTCTGCCCCCACCCTCTGAAACTTCATCCCACAGTCCCTCCGCCTCACCTCCCTTGCCTGCTTCAAGATCCATCTCAAGACCCTCCTCTTCGACTTCGATCTCCCTGTTTCCCATACTGACCTTCACCCCCCCTGACCCCTAGCTTGGGTCCGAAGCTCTGTCTGTCCAGCGCCTTGGGATGTTCTCCCAATATGAAAGGTGCGATACAAATGTAATTTTGGTAGTGGTGGTGTCCTCGCAGGGAGATTAACTAGTGCTGTGGGGAAGGATTTAAACTAATATCGAGGGGGGGAAGGGAATCAGGATGTAGCATCAGAAAGGAGAAACATGTGACACAGAGGACTGGGTGAGACGAATAGCAATGCAATAAATATTTCAGAAAAAGGATGGATTAGATGGGGGAGAAATGCAGAACAGACTAAGTCGGTCTTAGAGTGCATGTGCATAAATGCATGGAGTGTGACAAATAAGATTGGTGAGCTGCAGCTCAAGTTGCCTCATGAGGTTATGATGTAGTGGCAATAACGGAGACTTGGCTCAAACAAGCACAGGAATGGGACCTGAATGTTCCCGACTACAACGTACTCAGGAGGGATAGGGAAGGAAATTTCTCCTCAAGGGTCAGTATTGGGACCACTGCTGTTTTTGATCTATATAAATGACCTGGACTTGGATATAGGGAGTACAATCCAAGTTTGCAGATGATATTAAACGAGGAAAAGTAGTAAACAGTGAGGAGGATAGCAGCAGAGTGCAAATTGACTGGTAAAATGGCAGATGAAGTTTAATGTGGAGAAATGCAAAGTGATGAACTTTGGGAGGAAGAATGAGGAGAGGTAATATAAACTGATGGTAGAATCTTAAAGGGGGTGAAGGAACAGAGAGACCTGGGAGTCATATAAGGAAATCTTTGAAGGTGGCCGGACAGGTAGATAAAGCTGTTAAAAAAGCATACGGGATACTAAATGGGGCATAGAATACAAAAATCAGGAAGTTATGATGAAGCTCGAGACTGTGTTCAGTTCTGGGCCCCACACTTTAGGAAGGATGTCAAGGCATTGGAGAGGGAGCAAAGAAGATTGACCAGAATGGTACCAGGAATGAGGGACTTCAGTTATCAGGAGAGGTAGAGAAGCCGGGATTATTCTCCTTGGAGCAGAGAAGGTTATGAGGAGACTTAATAGAAGTTTTCAAAATGAGAAACTACTTCCACTAACAGATGGGTCGGAACCCGAGGACACCGATTTAAAATAGTTGTTAAAAGAAACGGGATGTGAGGAGAATTTTGTTTCAAACAGTGAGTTGTTCAGATCTGGAATGCATTGCCTGAAATGGTAGTGGAAGCCAATTTGATAACAACTTTTGAGAAAAGAGTAGATAATTATTTCGGGAGAACAAGTTTGCAAAGCTGTGGAGAGAGAGTGGGGGAATGGGATTGTTTGAATAGCTCTTTTCAAAGAGCTGACACGATGAGCCGAATAGCCTCCTTCTGTGCTGTGTAATTCTATGATTTGATACAGGCAACTTTCACATCAGGACTTCTCAAAGTACTTCACAGGGTTTACTGTAAAGCATAATGACCGTGTACTTCTTTAACATCAGGCAATCCATACAACTCATCAAAAATATAATTTATAATAATACAAATCCTTGTATTTGATATAACGTCTTATCGCATCTTCGAGATGTCTCAAAGTGCTTCACAGAATATACTGTAAAGTGAATTAACTGTATATTTTGTGGGCAAAAGGCGGTAGCCAATTGTGCACAGTAGTCCCACAAACAGTCGTGGATTGAGTGACCATATTATTATTTTTGAAGGAATTTTACATACATGGTGCTCCCTTTTCCATTTGCATTTGTGAAAAAAAACACTTGCTTTCACATCAGATTGAGTGTTCTGCACAGCTAAGGAAGATTTTGATATCAGATCACTGCAATATGCTACAGACTCAATGGGTAAATGCACATTTGATGGAGGTGCAAGTTATCTGCCTCATCTGACAGAAGAATTGATCGTTTAAAAATATCAGGAAATGTAAGGGCATGATTTTTTTTTAAATTGCCTGATCCCCAATTCAAAAGTGGAAGGTATTGTACTCTGTATGTATTGATGCAATTCCAGTGGCAGGCAGTGCCAGAAGCACGCAAAAAGGCTACTAACTGAATGTCAGCTTAGTTAAATTGGTATCAGAACGTTGAGGGTTCAAGTCCCACATTGGGACAGTTTTTGAAGGTGTGAAGGAAAATGTGCTGAACTGCCGGTGTTGTCATCTTTTGGATAAAGTGTTAGATTGAGACTCATTCCTGGTGCTCTGGCTCAAAATCCTTCAGATTAATTGCTCATTCACTTCATGGCTTTTTCTGGGACGTTGCTGTGACGTGATTAAGGTGCGATAAAAAATATTCTTTATATACCATTAGGAGAACATTAATCATAGTACGAGCAATGTCACTCGACCCAATGAGGCTCTCTCCTCTACGAGGAGGGGAGAAAGAAATCATACTAAGCTTTCATATTAAGCAATCACTCTTTAATATTACCCAATACATTTTTTGAGCAACACCCTTAATTCATCTTCTGAAATTCCTCCCATCAGTACACTATTCTCCCGAATAACCACAAGTTCCTCACTCCAAACTCTCTTCTCATACTGCTGAGTGCACTTAATAAGCAAGTAGGCATGAACATTTCCACTACTTAGCGCCATCACAGGAAAGAGATACACGTGCATATGCATGAAAACGTAGCCTGACATTATGCCTTAACAAAAGCTCAACATCCCCATCGATATTCTGAGGCTTTTCGAAATACCGAACAGGTAGAAGGACTCTCGATTGCCAGGTGAAAGAAGTCCAAGGCTCACCATGTTGGCAGTCGCATGTACATGTCGTGTCCCAAGAAATTATTCCCTAAAACAAATTAATCTAATTTGCTTTTGAAGTAATCAACACTTTCTGATTCCATCATCTCCTTAAGGAGCCTGTTCCATACGTTTACTACTCGCTCACTGAAGTAGTATTTCCGCAAATTTGTTCTGAATTTACCCCCCCTTCATTCACAATTTACTTGATTCAGTCGCACTCTCATCTGCAGGACGACACCTGTGACAATGGAACACTCCCAGATATATCGCGCTGGAGCTTCGCCCAGGATTGCGAGCTCAAAATTTGACATAGGGCTCCAACCCACAACCTTTTGAATCTGAGGTGAAAGCGCAACTGTTTGAGTCAAACACAAACAGTGAATCAGTTCAATCACTTGTGACTCTAAAGAAATAATCCAAAACTTGCCCGACACTTTCCAAATTAAGACACTCTTAAGACTTCGTCACTGCCACTCATGAACTTCATGCTCATCTGGCTGTCAGGCTCGCTCTGTGTCCACCTCCAGCCCCAGGACCTGCTCTAGGCCCTGCTGCAGGATCTGGGACCTACTGCCAGCCGACAGGCACTGCCAACCCCAAAACTCTATTGTCAACCCCAAGGCTCCATTGCCATCCACAGTCCCTTCTGCCAGTGCCCCAATGCCCACTCTGACAGCCCAGCGGGGGCCCGAAATATGGAACTGGGGTCTTGCAACCACAGTACGAAGGAGGGAGGTGATAGCCTCCATCTCAGATGCCCTCTCCCCCCGCCATGCAACCAATAACGACAAGTGCCCGTCACGCAAGGTTGCATGTCGGAGTGCTTCACAGTGGCCGAGCCTGACGCTCGGTGTAATGAGGGTGGAGGTGACTGTAAGAACAGTTGAAGAGGAAATTCTTCAGTCGTGATATGAAAGAGGGGGAAGAAAGGGGTAAGGGAGGGGTGGGAGGGCCAAGTCAAAGGGTTGGGAGGAAATAAGGCGGAGGGGTGCGGGGGACAAGATGAAGGATCGGGGGAGCAAAGCGGAGGGTTTGGGGGGCAAGGTGTGGGCCTGGGGGGGGCAAGGCACGGGAGTGGGGGGGGCAAGGCGCGGGGGTAGCAAGGTATGCGGGTGGGGGGTTATGGCTGAGGGTTTTGGGGGGCAAGGTGTGGGGGGGCAAGGCGCGGGGGGCAAGGCGCGGGGGTGGGGCGGGGCAAGGTGTGGGGGGGCAAGGTGCGGGGGTGGGGCGGGGCAAGGTGTGGGGGGGGCAAGGTGTGGGGTGGAGGGCAAGGCCCGGGGGGCAAGGCGCGGGGTGGGGGGCAAGGCGGAGGGTTTGGGGGCAAGGTGTGGGGTGGGGGGAGAAGGTGGGGGGTGGGGGGAGAAGGTGGGGGGTGGGGGGAGAAGGTGGGGGTGGGGGGGAGAAGGTGGGGGTGGGGGGAGAAGGTGGGGTGGGGGGGAGAAGTGGGGGGTGGGGGGGAGAAGGTGTGGGGTGGGGGGAGAAGGTGGGGGTGGGGGGGAGAAGGTGGGGGGTGGGGGGGAGAAGGTGGGGGGTGGGGGGAGAAGGTGGGGGTGGGGGGGAGAATGGGGTGGGGGGAGAAGGTGGGGGGTGGGGGGGAGAAGGTGGGGGGTGGGGGGAGAAGGTGGGGGTGGGGGGGAGAAGGTGGGGGTGGGGGGGAGAAGGTGGGGGGTGGGGGGGAGAAGGTGTGGGGGTGGGGGGGAGAAGGTGGGGTGGGGGGTGGCAAGGCCTGGGGCAGGGGGGGGCAAGGCGGAAGGATTGGGGGGAGGGGGCGAAGCGGAGGGATTGGTGGTGGTGGAGGGGGAAGAGAGCTCCAAAGAGAACGGCATTGAAAAGTTATACCAACTCAAAGAAGATAAAGAGTAATTGGAGTTCAGGCCGCGGCCCAAAAGAATGGCGGAACAGGGCCGGGGGCCTCCTCCTGGGCCTGTGTGTGTGTGTGTGTGTATATATATGTGTTTCTCTGAAGCTTCGGGGCGCGGAGTGGCTGAAAGCGCAGCCGCTGAGGTGTCGGTGGGGGTAACTCACCGGCTCTGGCTGCCCCCGGGGGCTGGAGGCGGTGTGTCTCGGGGTGTGTGTCTCGGGGGGGGTGAGGCCTGCGGCCCCCGCGGCTCCGGCTCCGGGCAGCACGCGCATGCGCGGCGCGCGCGCGCACACACACACACCCACACACCCCCTCCGCGTGAGGGGGGGGGACGGCCGTGCGTCGGGAACACGAGCACCTACGTAAGCGCGCAAGCCACGTCCTCCCGTCCCCGCCGCACACAGACGACAACAATAACAACAACAACAACAACAAAATGACATTTCTGTGGCGCCTTTCACGTCAGAGGGCGCTGGACAGTCAGGGGTCAGCACCCGAGCATGGGGGTGAGGGGGTGGGGGGGAGGGGTGGGGTAGGGATGAAGGGGGCTGAGGGGTGGTAGGGGTGAGGGGGGCTGAGGGGGTGGGGTAGGGGTGAGGAGGGGGTGGGGTAGGGGTGAGGGGGGGGGGGTAGGGGTGAGGGGGGGCTGAGGGGTGGGGTAGGGGTGAGGGGGGGTGAGGGGGTGGGGTGGGGTGAGGGGGGTGAGGGGTGGGGTAGGGGTGAGGGTAGGGGTGAGGGGTGGGGTAGGGGTGAGGAGGGGGTGGGGTAGGGGTGAGGGGGGGTGGGGTAGGGGTGAATGGGGGGCTGAGGGGTGGGGTAGGGGTGAGGAGGGGGGTGGGGTAGGGGTGAAGGGGGGCTGAGTGGGTGGGGTAGGGGTGAAGGGGGGCTGAGTGGGTGAGGTAGGGGTGAAGTGAAGTGGGGTGAGGGGGTGGGGTAGGGGTGAGGGAAGGCAGAGAGGTGGGACGGCGACCGAAGGCACGTCGAAGAGGAGGGTCTTGAGACCGGCCTTGAGGGAGGCGAGGGAGGAAGCGAGGCCAAGGGACCGTGGGATGGAGATCCAGAGTGTGGGGGCAGAGAGGCTGTAAGCCCGGACACCGATGGTATGGTGGGTCGGGCGGGAGACATGGAGCAGCCCGGAACCCGCTGAACGGAGGGAGCGGGCAGGTTGGTAGGGAGTCAGCAGGTCAGAGAGGGAGGAGGGGGTAAGGCCATGGATGAGGACGAGGATCTTGAACTCGATCCTCTGGGGGATGGGGGATAGGGAGCCAGTGGAGTCGGGCGAGGGTGGGAGTGATGGGGTCGGGCGAGGGTGGGAGTGATGGGGTCGGCGAGGTGGGAGTGATGGGGTCACGGAGTCTGGTGCGTGAGAGCACACGGGCTGCAGAGTTTTGGATGATCTGCAGGTTGTGAAGGGAGGAGTTGGGAAGGCCGATGAGGAGGGAGTTCCCGTAATCGAGCCTTGTTGTGACGAATGTGTGGGTGAGGGTTTGGGCAGCCTGAGGGGTGAGGCAGTGGGGGAGTCTGGCAATGTTGCGGGGGTGGTGGTTGGCAGTGCCGGTCATGGCGCGGATATGGGGGAGAAAGGACAGTTCAGGGTCAAACAAGACACCGAGGTTCCTGACTGGCTCAGTGAGGTTGAGTGTACAGCCGGGGCAACAACAACAAGATTCCATTTATAGAGCGCCTTTCACGTCAGGAGGGGCAGGTGCGGAGGCGCTGGCGCAGCCAATCAGGAGGATCTCAGTCTTGCTGATGTTGAGTTGGAGCCTCCCACTCCTCCTCATGCGTCTCATGCGCCTTCTCCTCCCCCCCCACCTGTACAAGTCCCACAGAGCGCACGAACCTCAACGGCAGTTGGTTGGATGTTGTCCGTTTGGTGGCTGACAGGAAAATGGAGGTTAGGCTCTCTCCCTCTCGCTCGCTCGCTCTTCATGCTGACTGTATTTTAACCACCCAATACAGGTAGCTCACCCGCCATCCAGCTAGTCAGGGCTCAACACACCCCACTACCCCATCCCCATCCCCACCCTCACCCCCAGTTATGGCCTCTCGCATACATCACCACCCTCCTCCTCCTCAACAACAACAATAGCAACAACAAATGACACTTACACTATAGCCACTGACAAATGACACTTACACTATAGCCCCAAAGCTTTATATATATATATAATATATACATGTACAGGAACAGGAGGAGGCCTTCAGCCTGTTCCACCATTCGTGGAGTCCTGTAGCTCAGTGGTTAGAGCACTCGCTTTGCAAGTGAGAGACCTGAGTTCAATTCCAGGCAGAGGGTGAAACCTTGGGCAAGTTTCCTTACTCCACACAGAGCCTAATAATAATCCCTCCAAAACCAAAACAATAATAAATTGGTCATTTTCAATCTACGACTGTTTGTGGGACATTGCTGTGCGCAATTGGCTGCCGTGTTCGCCCACAAATATACAGTCGATTCACTTTAAAGTGTGTTCTGTGAAGCGCTTTGGGACGTCCTCCCGACGTGAAAAGCGCTATATCAAATGCAAGGATTATTATTATTATTATTATTCTAGATTGTGGCCTCAACTCCAATTACCCTTTATCTTCGATTGATATAACTTAAATGCGATTATCTTTGGAACTCTCTTCCCCCCGACCTCCCCACACCTCAATCCCTCTGCCCCCCCCCCCCCCCCCCATCTTTCCACCTTGCACCCCTCCAATCCCTTCGCCTTGCCACTCCAGTCCCTATGCCTTGCCTCCCCTTCCACCATTCCTCCACCTTGTACCCTCATCCCTCTGCCTTGCCCCCATCAGTGAGTGTGAGGGAGAGCCCGGGGATGTTGAGGGAGTTCAGATCCGCAGGGAAGACGTTAACGGAAGCCAAGGAGTATGTGGAGTCCTGTAGCTCAGTGGTTAGAGCACTCGCTTTGCAAGTGAGAGACCTGAGTTCAATTCCAGGCAGAGGGCGAAACCTTGGGCAAGTTTCCTTACTCCACACAGAGTCTAATAATAATCCCTCCAAAACCAAAAACAATAATAAATTGGTCATTTTCAATCTACGTCTGTTTGTGGGACATTGCTGTGTGCAATTGGCTGCCGCGTTCGCCCACAAATATACAGTCAATTCACTTTACAGTGTGTTCTGTGAAGCGCTTTGGGACGTCCTCCTGACGTGAAAAGCGCTATATCAAATGCAAGGATTATTATATGTCTTGTCCACATTCAACTGTAGAAAGCTTTGCGCCCATCCTGTAGCTCAGCGGTTAGAGCACTCACCTCTCGCAAGCGAGAGGACCTGGTTTTGATTCTCAGCAAGCAGTGGGGTGGTGAAGGGCGAAGCCTTGGGCAAGTTTCCTTACTCCTCACGCCTGATAATCATCCCTCAAGAAAAAATAAAATTGGTCACTACGATCCATGACTGGGACGTTGCTGTGTGCAATTGGTTGCTGCGTTTTTCCCACAATATACAGTCAATTCACTTTACAGTGTATTCAGTGAAGTGCTTTGCAGGGATTATTACTATTTGGGATCAAATTGAACTTCCACCACACCTTTCACTTTACTTTAGGACATCCCAAGGCGCTACAAAGTGAAGGGTTTGCCACCGAGCTGGGGAGCATGTTTCCCCAAACCTCAGAGAATCAAGTACAAAACCCAGATTCTCATGTTCCAAGCCCTCCATGGTCTTGTCACCCCCTACCTCTGTGACCTCCTAACCCCCTACCAATCTGTCCGTTTCCTCCGCTCAGCGTGCTCTGGCCTGCTTCAGGTCCCCGACTCGCCCACCCCGCCATTGGTGAGCAAGCCTTCTGCCACTCTGTCACCACCCACTGGAACGCCATCCCACAGTCCCTCCGCCTCGCCCCCTCCCTTGCCTGTTTCAAAACCCGTCTCAAGACCCTCCTCTTCGACCATGCCTTTTTATCATCCTCCTTCCCCCCGCGTCCTCCACCCTTCTCGATCCTGACCCCCACCTCGGGTCCGAAACACTGACTGTCCAGCGCCTTGAGATTTCCTCCTGACGTGAAAAGCACTGAACAAATTTGTTGTTTAAAAAAAAAATGGTCATTCAATCCACGACTCTTTGTGGTACACTGTTGTGCGCAATTGGCTGCCGCGTTTCGCTCACAAAATATACAGTCAATTCACTTTACTGTGAAGTAGTATATTCTGTGAAGCACTTTGAGACCCCTCAAAGACATGATAAGACACTGTATCAAATGGAAGGATTATTATTATTACACCACCATCCCTACCCCAAACATCTATGAGATGTGTGGCTGATTTACTGTACTCAGGCTATACTCAATAAATTTGGATGAGAGGAATTTTTAACCAAGACTTTAGAATAATACTGTAATCATAATTCTAGCATTTGATGTAGTGGTTATGATATCAAAAATCATTTCACAGGGATTTGCTGTTAATTTTAGTGACTGCCATTATCTTGGCCAAGATATTGAGAGACACTCCCTTCTCTTTTCCAATAAAGTCACAGGATCTTTAACAAGCAGACTTATTGTTGGTTTAACATCTCATTCAACAAGTGCTGCTTTCACCCCCAGTGCTGTACTGGAGTGTCAGCCTTAACTATGACCTTGAAGACCCTGACGTGGGGCACGAGGCCACAACTGACCCAAGTTGACACGTAAGGTGTTTTATTAAAAAATAAATGTACAAGAAATATGAGTTATGCCTGGTTGGTGTAATACATTAAAATTTAATAAGGGCACTTCAAAGAAAACTGGTTCCTTCTGTACTCGGTTCACGTTGTGGGAGGGAGGGGGATATAATTGCCTTGTCATTTTGATGTTTCATTTCAGATATTTACTGAAGACTCGATTCTGATTATTGAAATATACTGTTCTTATTTCTCTCCTACGGCTTCTAAAGTTATTGCTATGTAAATGGCACTGATGTGCTCGAGGGAGGGCTTGGCACTCTACTCTGCAACTGTGACGTTGTAGGAAGAAAAGAAAGCAAAGGAATGAAAGAAAGAGCTTACATTTTTATAGAGCCTGATTATGTCAAAAGACAATTCCTTTCAATTGGAGTGACATTTTCTTTGCAACTGCAGCAGCCAATTTGTGCACAGCATGTCCCAGGAACAGCCATGAGGAAAATGACCAGTTATTGTGAAAGATACCCTTCTCTTTTCCAACAGTGACTTCTTAACGTCCACCTGAACAGGTGGCTTATTTTAACATCTGTGCATTTTAACTGCGCAATTGGCTACCACGTTTCA